GTTAAGAAGTCATAAGTACTCTGGTCAGTGACTTGTATATCGTGTTGTATATCATGTTCACTATTCAATGGGGCTACTTATGGAAGCTACAACTCTGTGCGTCTGTGGTTGAGCGGTAGTATGCGACCCAACCACCCATGTGGTCTGAGGTCCGATCCCTAGCCGACGCACTCCGAAACCTCCCTAAGGCTTTAATAAGGCTGACAAAGAGGGAAGGCTGGGCATGAGACTAACAACCCGACCCTATAAAATAAAACCATTGCTACTGAAACTTCAAGGCTATAGCCAGAAGCCCTATGTCACACTCGGAACGTACAGGAATAAAATGAAGGTCAAACAAAATCTATAAGAAGTTCTATTTTGGCTCATTTGATTGATGATAGCGGTCAACAAGTGGACAGAAGAAGTAGCGCCTCCAAAGTTATCTATCGCATTCCATCGAGCTTTTCGAACGGAATTCGAACCCGTCTTTCACACTCTGTTTATCTTTCCACTTCACCTATCTTTAGTATTACGTAGCTTTTAAGGTTTGACCTAATTTATTTATTTATTGAATTGTCTACATATACACATATCCCTCACTACCTTCGTTATTCTTATTGCCGCATGCATAAACCTTGTTATCAATATTTTGTTATCATTATAATCATCGTTATTAACTACGTTCAAAACATTTACCACATTATTATTGTTGTTATTAAGATTATTATTTGATTCCCAAAATCACCGTCATTGGTTAAAATTTTATATATAAATCTATGTAAGTTAGAGTAAAGCCCGAAGAAGATCTAATTGAAAACAATATTGTTCTAATATTAAATATGGGAATATTTAATGATAAGAAGAATCTGTTGATTCTTGTTCAGTCGAAATAAATTCCAGTATCAGCGCTGCTTAATATATAATGTGATTACTAATATTCAAGTATTGGTTTTGTAGGGATTTTTGTTTGATTGTATGTAGGATTTCATCATGAGCTGACATCAGTTAGAGAACCACTGGAAAACCAGCTGGGAGTACTGGACAGCTGTTCCGTCCTAGTTTGAGACTCTACATCAGTACGCTCCCACCGGGGTTCGAACCCAATGGCTTACCTATTTATCACCATGGAAGGAAAAATATCCTTTATGTTTTTCCTTATTATGTTGCGTAATTTCTATTCACTGTCTTCACGCGACGGACGACGGTATTCCTTACAGAAGTGAAAGAGGGAATAAGAACCTCTGGCGCCTAAAACAGGATTTGTAGGCATACTGATCTACCTAGGGGAGCTGAAAAATCCTAGTCCTAAACATATGGTGTGTACACAGGCTTGGGAATCTAAACCGATAGGATGGCATGTGAACCTGTTTTGGTTACCGGAAACCATGGGAACGCCACTCCTGACTCTGTTGCTGTACTTTATGTTGACCAGACTCCACGTCAGACGTTCTTTGGAGGGGGGATAGACCTCTTTTGACAACTGCCTGCTTTAGTCTGAGTGTCCGGGTAGTAACCCAGCCGCCACACAAATCATGAAATTTTGTGTATGTCTACGTGCGCACACTATACCAATAAAATAAATTGTAACTACTTATAAACTATTTAAATAGTATCGCAAATAATTGATAAGTTTTTCTTTGTGAGCTCATGAAATCTATGTATATTTATTCTGGCTACGAGTTTTGTAGGAATTTGAATTCCTTTCAGTGTACATTTCGTCATGAATCAACACCACATAGGATACTATAGAAAAGAATGGAGCACTGGACAGTTGTTTCGTCCTAATTTGAGACTTTTTAGCAGTACACACACAATGACGTTATTGGTTCGTGAGAAAAATCCCTTTGAAATTACTATGAATACCTCTAAAATTCTTCATCTGACTGTTTGCCTCTAGTTCAGTGATGCTTGTAGGAAGGATATCATGAAGTTTCGATGCTGGTGGGGGGAGGGTTTTGACTGTTTGGGTTCACCACTTCATGGTGAAGCGGATTCTCATCGAGGATATCGGTTGGAAATATCGTTATTGATATATAGAGACCTAATTTTCTACATGTCATTTTTACATGTCTGTTTGTACATCTCTCACCTCATTTATAGATTTATGACCTGACTTTCTCTACCCCTACTTTTGATCTTTGAAATCCTATTGGTTGTTCACTGTCTTTATTTATCAGTGACATTAGTGCTTCTCAGGGTCGTTTTAAACATATATATATATATATATATATATATATATACGCAAGCGCTATCAGTCTTTACTTTGGACTGTTGTTTTGAGGAAGTAAAAGCTCTCTTACCAGCGTCCAGTCTTCTCTTCTGTCTTTTTGCGGCCCGGCGGTATTATTGTTGTTGTTGACGTGCTATTAGAACAGGTTAGTCAGCGCATTAAGTTAGTATTCTCTCAAAGTCTACCAGGTCGTATAGTTCCGGTCATAAAAGAATGTCACACAGAAATTCTGCATTATAAATTTAACGAGAGGGAGAGAGAAGAAACATTGGTGAAGAGTAATACAGGAACGTTTTATATCATTGACTTGTCATCAGCTGCATACAATCTATGACACTGAATAAGACCAGTTAGAATACAATTTCTAACACACATTTTGTTTATCATCACGAGGAATCTATCCTCCAGTAAGTAAGGACTGTTGTTGTAAGAAAGCTATAACGAAGTAAAACATAGGCATGATGAGGAGCGAACAATTTCATTGTTATAGTGGTGATAAGTTAGTGACAATTGGCCAATTAGAGCAATTAGTCAGTGATCCTCATCAAATGGTCTTAAGCTTAATCCCTCCGTCAAAATGTCAGGTGGTTAATTTCACTTTCAGACAAGCAAGTGCAACTTACAGGAACTGGTTAGTTTTCGCTGTTCCACTATCATAGATAATAATAACAATCTACTTTATTCCAAAAACACTACTTATAATACAGAATAGAATTCTCAGCATTTGTCGCAATATTGCATCTGATTTACTCAAAATATAAATAAAATTAAAACAAAATTAACCAGAGGAATTTGTCCACCTTTACGACATAAAGTCAAATATATTCGAAGCACGAATTGAGATTATTAAATATAATAATAATAATAATAATAATAATAATAACAGTGAGTTTGTTTCAAACGGTATTGTCGATTCAGTTTGAAAACTTTAGCATGCTATAGATTATTGAATCTAATGTTCAGTTGATATAGTATAGTAAGGAGAAATACAAAATTAACAGTTATAATACAGCTTAAATTATGTCCACACTTATGAAAAAAATAAACTAAACAAAAAATTGATAGGATTATAAATATCAGAAGTACAATAACAATAAAAGGTTGATGTTATAAGGGTGGAGGAAATGGATTATTTAGTGGTGCAAAGAAGGTTAGTTAGTTCATTTCTGACACTATTTTCATCACATAAAGTACTTGTCAAATATGGTATGGTGGAATTTTTATACTTAGAGGTACGTGCATAAATTCTTCTGAAAAGACTTCTTGTTTTACCTGAGGAGATACAAGGTTTGAGCTGCGGGTAGAGTGGGTGCTCAGAGTCTGACAAAATTCCTCTAGCTAATTTGTTGCATGACATCAGGTACCTATTAGTGACAATGTCAACGATATGGCCCGATGGGATACCAATGAAGTTGACGGTGAAGTACCTTGGACTGTGTATTTCTCCTGATCACCTTTCCTGGTCTTCCTCACCAATCATGCTAGTTTCCAAAAAGATACTTTGTTTGACGTCCTATGTAAGGAAGTTAAAACGGTCTGGTATCATTCTGTCTCTACTATTACAGTTTGTTAATTCTTGTATTCTGTCTAATTTTCTTTATTGATTCCCCTAAATCTCTCCTGGGCTACTTAAGAAAGACTTTGTTATACTGTGTAGGGCACTAAAAGCCGTTAGTAGGGCGAGTGGGTTGTCGGTAAACCAACTCATTAATACAGTTGTAGATAGACACTTGGATTCCTGAAAGAAATTAGTAAAGATTATCCTGTCAGACCCCGAAAATCTTCTGCATAAACAACTCTCTCCTTGCATGCCATCGGGTAGAACTATAATGCGACTATAGAAGATTGTATGCTCTAAAGACCAAGTACAAAAACTCTACAGTACCTTAATTAGCATACATTCCATGCGATGAGGAAAGTGTGCAAGTCAGGAAATTACCAACTTATTGTCGAACTCTAAGGAAACGGCATTTAATTTATTCTCATTGCTACATTATCGTTAATATTTTCACTTGATTTAATTTTGCATTCATTTCTTATTGAACAAAATTGAAAATTCCATATTTGTACCTAAAGTATTGTTTGGAACAAAGCTATTATTATTATTGATAAAATACATTGAGTAGAACTCATAAGATTGGAAACTTCAAATTTTGTGTATCAAATCGATTGAAAAGATGATGACTTAAGGCAGTAATTAGAATTCAAGGGATAATTACCCCCTCATTATGCTATCTCCAACTGTGTACATCAACTCAGTACATCCTGAGGAAACGTTCCTACAACAGGACGAAACAACTATTCAGTGGTCCTCAAACTAATGTTGGTTCACATCGAAATCTACAGTGAAATAAAACAAACAGTCTGACCATTTATCCTTTTAATGACTGAATTATATTTGATTGGATGGAGGATTTCATCATGAGCTGACACCAGTTAGAGAACCACTGGAAAACCTGGGAGTACTAGAAAGCTGTTTCCTCCATCCTAGTTTGGGACTCTTCATCAGTACGCACCCACCACAGGGGTTCGAAGCCAGGACCTTCTGGTTATAAGTCCTAAACTAGGCTGACGAGACAGCTTTCCAGTACTCCCAGCTGGTTTTCCAGCGATTCTCTAACTGATATCAGCTCATCATGGAATCCTCCAACCAGTTAAAACAAATCCCTACAAAAGCAATACTTGAAAATGAATTATATTTCATATATTGAGCATTCCATTCTGATAGAATTTTATCAATTAATTGTTTTTAAAAGAATATTTGAATTTCGCTTTTCTCTATTAAAAGCTGATTGTATTCATGAATCATGTGAAGCACTGCCATACTGTCAACAGCCACATAACCCAGTAGAAATGCATTGTCATGAAAAAATGCATCATTTAGGGAAGAATTATATACACAGTAGTTGGAATTGTTATCTCAATTCTTCACAAGTAAGTTTGCCGAATGACAGTGTGTTAATATATATATATATATATATACATATATATATGAAGTAGTTTATACTCCGAGATATGGATTACTGACAGTAGAGTTGTCATTTGGTAAACGAGTATTCCATACAGCCAGTTGGATTTGTTAGATTGAATAAAGAAAGAACGTGCATTATAATTATTGTCTCCTTTGGTTCCTAGAAGAACACAGGACTTCAGCTGCACGTCTCTATGACACTTGGTTTCCCGCCAACGTTTTAACCTGGCTCCACATCTGCCCACATGCTTCCATCTCCTCTTCACATCACCTCATCCTCCATGTCACCCTCGCAATGACGACCAACTCGCCGCTGCCCATTTGGATTCCACTCGAGTGATGGCCTGGCGTGTGATGTTACTCAATTGATGGTTTGTTTTCTCCGAGTGTGGCCAATCCACCGAACTCCATTTCTTCACGCATATTTATTGCACAAATGTTTCCTGCTGGGTTGGTTCGTTCCCAGAGATCCCTGTTGGTGATATTTTCTGTCCGGCCTTCCGATCTTGAGTAGTATTGAGCGAAGACAGCTGTTGATGAAGGTGTGTAGTTTGTTCGAAGTGCCCCTCGTGATGCGCCACGGCGCCAAGTCTCTGGTCCATGTAGAGTAGCACTGACTTCACATTGGAGCTGGAAATCCGGATCTTATTTTTCATGCTGAGTGTTGTTGATCTCCACACAGACTTGAGAGTAATGAAAGTTTGCCTAGATATCCGGATTCTAGCTGCTTTGATATCCTCATCAGTTTCGCCGACTGCAGTTGAAACGATGCTTCCCAGGTAAGTGGGTAGGTAGAGGAGGTTGCTTCTTTCAGATTTCTCCCATTCATGCTGGCTGATTGTTGTCTGTTGTTGTTGTGTGGTGAGAGCTGTCTGCTAACCAAAATTGGTGGACAGCAATTTAATTCAGTGGTTACGTCCCAAATCTTGGCCATGAGAAAAAACAAGAATAAAGACTAACTCAACAACTAATCACAGTAGATTTTGCGTGGGCGGATACGGTTAGCAGATATATGGTCTGACCTTCAAAGAAACGGCAACAAAGAGATGAAAGAATAACCCTCAGCAGGAAAACAACCAATCAGAAGACGTTGCTTGTTTGCTAACAATAACTCTAATAATGTACAAAAAAATCTATAAATATCTGTTGATTTTCTCAATAAACGATCTGTTGCCTGGCCCTTGTCTTCTGTCGTTACAATTACTGTTGCTGTTGGCCAGGAATCTTCATCGTCACCTCTGTTTTCTCTATGTTCACCTGGAGTCCTTCCTATCTTTGATTCTTCTTCTGCCAACTTGTTGCTTTTCACTTTCATATCTTCCAGTTTGTGAGAAATCAGACATATATCATCATGGGCGAAATCCAGGTCCTCCAAGATTTTTGTATGGGTCCATTTTATGCCAGTTTCCTCGCTGTCCGCTGTCTGTCGCATTATCTAGTCTACAGCAATAAGGAAAATCATTGGATAATGAGAGCTCGTTTTATTTAGTCAACTCTCTTCAACTGCATTGACCCCAAACAAAATCAATTATAAGTTACAAAAAAATTGTCCGAAAATACTCTTTACAATGACTTCGAGTTATAGATGGAAAGTATAGACAAAATAATACCAAAAATGATGTAAGAACACAAACTGTTCAGTGTCAAGGGAGTAACTATTTATAGAATAATTAGACAAAGGAGGTGCTTTGAATTTGGAGTTCGCTTGGGAATAAGGATAGACTAGAGACAAAATACAAGATAAAACAACAGAGTTAATTTATACATATTATGGTGAAGAGCTCAGGAAGGGTGGTGGGTGGTGAATAGTGAAGTAAAATTATGCGACAGATAAAATAATTTTATTGAATAGATTTAGAACCTTAATAGTGAGTCCAACTCAGTCAGTGAGTGAAAATCAAGATCAAAATTGAGTGGAATGTTATGCAACAGAACACAACACAAAAGCACATAAACAAAACAATTACGGTTACCAGGGTAGTGAGAGATTAGTCAGACTATCTTTATGTATGCTTAGGTTGGGTCGAAGTCTTTTGATGGCATTGGCTTCTGCGAACCAAGGTAACCATGCTTTCCTTCGTGTATTGATTATTTTGAAAGCCTGAACAATTTCCACTGTATGTCCCATGTCAATTAGGCTGCCTTTCATACGGAAACTTATCGGGATATGCTCAGAAAATCTAGTAGACGCTCTCCTCTCAATCCTTCTGATGTACTTGCTGACGCAAGTGCAGATGACATGCGGAGCAGGATACTTATATACTTTTGACTGAGTTAACGATCATAGCGAGTTGTAAAGTGGAATGAGTCTAGCCTCAGTGACTTTTCTTTTCAATGCATCTTTAATTCTCTCTCCCGTTCTTATGGACACTTATTTGCCTTTGTATACTAAACAGATAAAAACTGGTTTCTTTTCAACTTCTTCGGGGTTTGAAATGAACTTTCGAGTGTTTTCATTCTTAATAAAGATATTTTCGATGCCTGCGAGTTCCTCTTCGATCTTGCCTTTTGATCACAACCTCCTAGCTTCGCTGAAGAGCGTTTTCATCAGGCTCCGTTTGTAGCCGATTTAGCGAAAGCTTTGATAATTCAAATTTCTTTCCTACAGATGGGTTTTTCAATCGTCCCATCATTTCTTCTTTTTACGTTGAGACCTGCGAAGTGGAGCTGATTGTCACGTTCGTGATCTATTGTAAATTCAGTGTGGTGATGAGTGGTATTGAGTTTTTCAAGCGACTTGGATGTGCGATCCATATTATGGTGAATCACGAAAGCGTTGTCAGCATAGCTGCAGTAATAGGTGGCTCTCTCTATTTCCAGCTTCATTCGAGTCTGTTCAAGATGAGCTGTGAATATGTTAGCAAGAACAGGACCCAAAGGTGAACCAATAGCCCCTCCTTATCAGTTTGCCGGTACAGTTGATTGTTGAATCGGAACTGAACATTCTTTGTATAAAGGAGTAGTCAATCACGAGTCCGAATAGCTCAGAGGTAACATCTCTGACTTCAGCACTGGATGACCTGGGTTCGAATCTCATAAGGGGCATTAGTTCCTTCAAGGTTGCAGATACGCCTTGCTGATTAGTGCCAGCTAGCACAAAACCGGGGTCGAAGGCTTCCTAACGACTGCCTCCAACCGTCTAATATCAATAAACTAGACTAATTTTGGGAGTGTGTCTGTAGGGAATTGAAACCGTACCTCTTGAATAGTCGGTGTGCTCTTTTATCAATGAATCACTAATACAAACTTTTTCGCTAACTAATATGTTCACAAACATTTAGAAACTGATAAGTTTCTATTGTTTGGAATAGATTTAGGTTAACACATTGGAGAAGGGGTGAAAACCTCGGTTATGTAATAACTGGAACCAGTAGCCTTCAGATTTTGGATACCAACTATTACTAGGCAACAATTCAAATGCATGTTTGTACGTATATACTTTCATTGACTGTTCCCTTTTTGGTTTGTTACAGATTGAATATTTACCAATACCAGATGCTAAAATGGAACCAATAGCTGAACGGTAAGTAAATAATTACTGCACTGTGAATTCTCAACTTTAAATTTTCAAGGGGTTTTAATTCAAGTGAATATAAATTTCTCTACAAATCAATATCAGTCAGAGAAACATTGAAAATCATGGAAGGAATAGAGTGGATGAGGCATACTGATAATGAGTCCCAGTCTAGGACGAAACAACTGTTCAACCCTCCTTTGATTTTCAGTGCTCTTTAACATTGACATCAATTTTTCACGATATTCACATGGTGACCGTGAATTCGTTTAAATTTAAAGGCGAAATATTTTTGATGGCACGTTTGATGACTAGTTGATACCAGTGAGAGATTGACTGGCTGACTGACTGGTTTCAATACGGAACTTTGCACAGAAATGCAGCCTTTCAACTCGCCACTCCCCATGCAACACACAAAGCAAAAGAATAGAACAAACGGAGGTTCAAAAGACAGATAATAAACAGCAGTTTGAGGGGAAAATAGTAATATGGAGGAACAATAGAGTTTTATTGGATATGACAAATGACAAAGAGTGAATGCATCTGCAACCCTAAAAACGATTTTCAGCTGTATCACCAGTTACCTCTAGCTGTTACTTTTTGCCGTCCTCAAGGCCCTAATCAGGAAGTCTACACCTCCCTACGCGACTGGCTGGCTTAAAGTAACTGTTACGGATTTCATTGACTGATGAAGCCATGTTTTGGTTTGACCACCACTAGCTAACTTTTTTCCAACCTGATCCTATTTCAGCTAACATTTCCTGTCGCAACCACCTCAATCGATATAACTTCTAAACCACATCGATTGATTCCCTCTCCTTACATAGCACTCGACGCCTTACCTCAATATTTCTCACCTTATTATACCACCTTATTCTAACACGGGAGATAGAATGCAGACACATATAGTCGAACACAGCTAGCCTTTTTATGTCTTTCACTATCAGTGACCATGTCTCACAGCCATAAAGGAGCACAGAGAGAACTGTGAATGCAGTTGCTGTTACAGCCACTTTGGAATACGTTCTGTAGCCCTAACCTCTAGAGGCTATGTACGTGTGTTCACACATACGTGTAAATGGGTAAACACAATGAGATGTGACACTATCATTTGCAGTCTGTAAGGGTTTACAAGACAACATAGATCTCCTTTTCTCTATGAAAATAAGTTTGGTTGCATAGTAAGTTCTATGAATTGTCGTCCTGGGTCTTTGTTTAGTGACCAGGCTTTGTTGATCACCCTTGAACAGCAAGGATATATAAACATTCTTCTTGGAAGCTGACTAGATCGATAAAGCTGTTTGTTTGACACTTGTATTATGGATAGTTGTTATGTGACAATATTTTAGTGAGGTGTTGCGTTTCTTCTTCACCGGTGTCGGCTGTACACCACTGCCTTCTATATAAATGTGTGTGACAAGTATGTGTGTTTTTGATAAAAATGTTCGAAATGTGTTGTGTAAATATATACACATTACTCGTTTCAGATAAACTATGTCTTCTTCTTATTTTGGTTGAAATTCATAAAAGAGGATTACTTACTCTAAATAGGTGACCTGAACAGATTCACCACTGTGAGCTGAGTGAAACTAAGTACACCACTGATAGACTCAGTAGTACTCGAGCGAAACAGTCATCCTCTGGTATTTACATCAATTAAATCCAGCAAGCAAGTGCTACTACTGATTTCAATCATTCAGTAGTATACAATTTTAGACAAAGCAATATGACGACGTAATTTGTCTGAATCGTGTATTGTATATTTGCGGGACGCGCATTTCGAACAATCTGATCATACACGGATATGTCGTAGAAATACACATATATGAAATTAATAAAGAGTTAAGAGGTGAGAAAATAGACAAGGCAGGTCAAGTTAAAAGGACAGACTGAAGGTCAAAATAACAGCTGGAGATCACTAAACCAAATAACAGAGGTAATAGGTACATCTACACTGGCTGGTATCAAAACAAAGTTTACCAAGGAAGGTGGTTTAGTGTGATGACGAATTGTTGCTTTAAACGCATAAAGGTGGTTTAAACTTTCTAATTGCTAGCTAGAGCTTCCACAAACTTTAGGACACTCCCTCCTCCAAACACGTTTTATAGATAGGTTTAAAAGATGTGTAAACGTCAATTTTGTGTCCTATCTCTATAATATGTTTAGCAATAGAGGAGTTAGGTCTCCTGTTCTCACCATTAATGGGTTCTGAAGATTCTATTTGCTTCTGGAGCCACTAAGGAATATGTTCTGAAGTCAGCCCTTACTTACAGAGATCGATGAGTCCTCCCTATGTATTTGTGTCCACACGTACATTCAAATTGGTAAATGCAGTGGGATGTGATATCATTTTTCTTATGTTCAAAGGGCTTAGATGGATATATATATATTGGCTTCACATTCTCAATTATTACGATATTAGCTGCATAAAAAGTCTATTTTTTAACAGCAGCGTTCAATCTTTGTCTAGTTCTCAAGCTGCTGTGATGCCCCATATACAATGGCTTGATGTACACGTCTTTCTTACGAGCGAGTTGGAGAGTGGGTCTTGGTGTTCCGACTACTTTATGTCTCCTAATGAACTTGTCTGGATAACTGCTGTCAACCAGAGTTTGTGTCAACTTTCCTTCTTCCACATCAAGTGTTTCTTCAGTGCATATTCGTTGGATTCTACTGAAGAGGCACATCACTCCCCAAGAGTCCTTTATACCGAACAGGGCAGAGACTGTGATAATTAAGATACTGTCCTGTCATGTCCAGGCAGGTTTTCTGCAAATAGATCGTTTTAGTGACCCACCAAGACGTCGATAAGCAAATAGAATCCCCAGAACTCATTAATGGTGAGAACAAGAGACCTAGCTCCTCTACTGCGAAACATATTATAGAGACAGGATATAAAATTGACGTTTACACATCTTTTAAAGCTATCTGTAAAACCCGTTCCGAGGAGGGTATCCTAAATTTTGTAGAAGCCCTGGCTGGCAATTAGAAAGAAACAATTCGTCATCACACTAAACCACCTTCCTTGGTAAACTTTGTTTTGATACCAGCCAGTGTAGATGTACCTATTACCTCTGTTATTTGGTTTAGTGATCTCCAGCTGTTATTTTGACCTTCAATATGTCCTTTTAACTTGACCTAACTCTTAACTCTTTATTAATTTCATACATATACAATCCTATGACAAGCCCGTGTGTATGATCAGATTGTTCGAAATAAGTGTTGCGCGAACACAGCATTACACGATTCAGACAAATTACGTCTTCTTATTGCTTTGTCTAAATTTATAAAGGGAACTAATTGTTTCAAAGTATATAATTTTATCTCTCTATTTATTGATACGATTTATTCTTTCTTCTTTCTTCCTCTCAGAGCACACAGTAAAATTCACCGTGGTCTACGTGAAGCATGTTTAGCTCTGGGGATTGTTTTTACAACGATCACGCTAATTTGTATTGAACTACTGCGTATCATTACATTGACGATTGTGAAACCATTTTTACAATTTCTACGCTTTTTATCCCATTTAATTATTAATTATTTCTGTGATATTAGTTATATGCTGAGTGCACATTGGGAGCGATTTATACATCCAATTATTAATTCATGGGCTGCCTATTCACAAGATGTTGTTGTCCCTGTGATACGTGAATTTCGTCCAATACACATCATAGTACATCAACAACATCACCATCAACAGCAGCAGCAACATCAGCAGCAGCAACTGCCGACTTATTCAGACAAAGTGATACAACAGTGTTGAGTACAGATCGGTGGGCGGCGACGGCGATAGTCATCGTCATCCTCATGAGATTTCCTTCTGTTTTTTACGAATCGCTTCTAGATTTTTTTCTAGACGCCGTTTAACGGTTCTCACTTTTTGATGTGTGTGTGAGATGGTAACTCTATTTGCTGCTTCTTAGTTCAAACAATTTCTATGAATAAAGATTATAATAGGCTGCTTTAATAAAAAGTACGTTCACATTCACCTCCTTCTTTGTTTCATTTGCTAATAAAAGCATTCTAAGATAGAGAAGAAGATGCAATTTCATAACTCGTAGTCCTAGATTACGACCCCTCATCAATACTCACCTACTGGGTCTCAATCAGATGGTGCATGGATTCTAACTTCTACCAATTCGTGATTTTTAGCGCGATTGATACCAGCCACTGTCGAGTGCTAGGTAAGGATGGGAAATCAATCGACAAGGCTGTGAAGTTACACCGATTGAGATGGTTAGGACATGTGATACATATGCCTAGTCATCGCCTTCCTCGACAAGCAATGTTAGCTGACATAGGGCCAGACTGGAAAAGAGCTAGTGGTGGTCAAACCAAAGCATGGCACCAGTCAATGAAATCCACAACAGTCAGTTTAAGCTAGCCACTTAGGAAGGTGTAGACTTACTGGTTGGGGTCCTCGGGACGGTAAAAACCAATGGCTGGAAACAATTGATGACATGGCTCAAAATCTTTCTCAATGACTGGCGCAGATGCATCCACTCCTTGTGACTTATGATTTCCAATGAAACTATATCGTTCTTCGTTATTACTAATCCTTTTATCTCACATCCCTGTTCACTGTCTCTGGTTTGCATTTCTTCTACTTTCTTCTCTTGCTTTGTGTGCTGTATGGATTGAGTGTGGCAACTTGAACTGCTGCACATCGATGCAAAGTTCTATGTCGAAAACAGACAGACAGCCACTGTCATCGGTGGTGAGTATTTGTCCTACCTCTTGACCTGTTAGAGGACCCTACTAGTCATGACTTCTCACTAGAACTCCAAGCAGATTCGTCCTGCAGACAGTCACTAACTAGCATCCGATTAGATTTTCAGTTTTGGTCACTGATTAATGTCAGGCTGAAGTTGTTTTCAGGGGGGTCCACTAAGTAGAGCGTGATGAGAATACTCGCCGATGACATTGGCTGGTGACAGTATCTATGGGGTGGCCAGTAAATCGGCTTCTAGTGGCTGAATGAATGGTCTACAAGCTCGCTTTCTAACCAGGGGTCCTCGGTTCGAAACCCAGTAACTGCGTACTGCCAATGGGTCTGAAAATAGGGAGCAGTAGCTGTCCAGTACTCTCTGCTCTGGTTTTCAATACTTCTCTAACTGATCTAATTAATCCAAGATCACACTTGGAACAAATCAAATCCATACCCGATATCTATGGTCGGCCTGTAAATTTGGGCTACCGATATCCATGCTGAAAATTCCATACCTGTACTGAAAATACGGTGTGGAATCAAGCTGTAAATCAAAAATAAAAAAATACATCCCTAAACCTCGTTTCAGTTTACTAACGGACATTAAGCTCAGAAAAAAGGGAAGGTTTGACGCGAAGTTAAAATCACCATACCACCGTTACTGAAACCCTCAAAAGCTTGACGTCTTATGTTCCACTTCAGAGTGTAAGGATTCAGGCTAATGAAGAACGAGTGAGTCATCGCTGTTAGTGTTTTTAGAGAGGTTTTGAAGGTGTAGTGCACTTCATGTTCTTAACTCTTAAGTTCAATCAGATGCGACACTTTCGTATTTTAGTCTGGAAGCTAAAACATAGAGCTTTTAGCTTACAGCTTGACAGTCAAGTGAAACAGGATTTTCAAATGTCGGTTCTCAGGGATTTGATTGGTTGCAATAGTGATCACGGATCGACACCGGTTAGAGAGCCACTGAAACCTACCAGGGAACACATGATAGCTGTTTAATCTGAGTTTTGGGCTACTCTTCAGCAGTACGGACCCATTGGGTTTCTAACCTAAGACCTTCCAGTTACAAAGCTAGATTGTTGACCATTCAGCCACTGGGAACCTCTCCAGCTATCCATAGATTTCAGCTCCTACCGATTCACGATATTTTGCTCAAATATCTGTCAATGTCAACCAATTAATAAATCCCTGCAAACCAACAGCTGAAAATTAATCTGATGCACATCAGCAGCTGGATCCATACAAGAGGTTACCTGGAGTCCTTGTGGAACTTCATGACCAGTAGGTTACACCAAGTCAGGTAATAAATAGTACAGTTACTCACCGATGACAATGCCTGGAGGCTGTGTCATATATCGCGAATTGGCAAAAGCTGAAATATATAGATTGGCCATTGAATCGGGTGTTATTGGCTAGTCACTGGAAGGTACTGGGTTCGAACCGCCATCGAAAGCATGCAGCTGTCCAATACTACCTTGTTTACAATGGTTCTTTAACTGATGTCAGCTTGTGAAGAAAAGTTGGGTTTTGCTATCTTTTATCTGAACTTGGAAGAGACTTGAGGCTTCGCTTAAGTAGAAAGATATTGTAACTTTGGTCAAATGACTAAGCAGCTTGAGGCCACTGTAATAGCGTGCATCACTGATATGCTTTGCCTTCAAACAAACAGAATTATAACCCAGTGCTTAGGCGAATAGCTCTTATTAATTAATATGATTGCTTTTCCACTACTGACATGAGCTAGTCAGTAGTATGTATCATCGTGAATTAACATTTCCGGGTGTTTTAATAGAATTGCCATGGTTACAGGGTTTCATCATAGGCTGATATCGGTTACAGAACCAGTGGGAAACCACTGAGGATTATTGGACAATCGTTTCCTCCGTCCTAGTTTGGGACTCATCAGCAGTATGCGCCAGCCAGGATTCAAACCGAGGACTTTTGGGTTACAAGGTAAATTCCAACTTCGGCCACTTCATGATATGGCGTGACCACTAGCCAATGTCACCAACGGCGAGCATTTGTCCTCAAACCCGACCTTCTGTACCCCACTGGTCATGACTTCCAACTAGAACCCATCCAGGTAATTACCCACCTGAATATGGCCAGACTGATATTCAAGTGTTGGTTTGCAGCGAAGGTCCTGGGTTCGAAACCCTGGCGGTGAGTGCGTACTCCTAAAGAGTCTTGGAATAAGGTGAAACAGGTGTCCAGTACTTTCTGCTGGTTTTCCAATGGTTCTCTAACGGATGTCACCTCATAATACAATCCTATAACCAATCGATTCCCTACAAACCAACAATTGAACTGCCATGGTTTGTGTTATTTAGAGTACTCTCCAAATTTATTAGTTATGCTTGATACATGTATGCTGATTATTAGTATTCTATGCTGGGTTTTTTTATTTAGTCACAATAGTAAAGGTTCTCAAGCTTGGAAAACTAAGTTTCAAGATAGCAGAAACAGATGACTAACTGAAATAACTAGCTCACCAGGAGTAGTTGAACCAAATCTCATACAGCTTTTGTTATTGACACTTGAAAAATCGAAGAATCCTTCGTTGCTGGTCAGCCGGCTTATCTTCAGAATAGAGAGAAAGAAGTAGCCGGTGATAAAAGTTTGAAGTCTGTTTTAAGAATTATTTTCTTGACAAACGCGAGCGTACTCTGAGTCTCTGAATGTAATAAAAGCATTGACCGACTTGAAATTAGTGTTGAAAATCTGAATATTCAAGTATTGGTTTGGTAGGGTTTTTTGTTTGATTGGTTGGAGGATTTCATCATGAGTTGACATCAGTTAGAGAACCATTAGAAAAACCCAATAGGGAGTGCTAGACAGCTGTTTCATCAGCCTAGTTCGGGACCCTTTAGGAGTATGCACCCACCGACAGGGTTCGAACCCACGACCTTCCGGTTACAAGACAAGCTGGCTCGTAGACCGTTAAGCCACTGGGACCCGACCAAGTGGCCAGTCCATGAATTCCAACTTCTGCCAATTCATGATATGACGCGACTACTAGCCAATGTGATCAACACCTGACCTGCTGCAACCTGCTGGTCACGACTTCCCACTAGAACCCCAGTTAATTACCTACCCAAATAAGGCCACTTGCTAGTGATCCCCTCATTGATATTCAATTAATGGTTTGTAGGGAATTGATTGGTTACAGGATTTCATCATGAGACGAATGTCAGGTTTTCCAATGGTCCTCTAACCGATGTCAGATCATGATGAAATCTTGAATACTTGAGTATTAGGAATTAATCTGATTCTCTGTAGTGACTTGCTACGGGACGGAGTTTCTGCAGTTCTAGTGAGATGTCGTGACCAGTGAAGTTCATCCAGTCAAGTTTGTGAGTATAGATGTCCCACCGATGACATTGGTTGGTGCCAGTCACACTAATTCCCGAATCGGTAGAAGTTAGAACTCACATGTTGACCATTGAATCGGATACCAGTGGCTGAATGTTCGCCTAAGAGCTTGCCTTGTAAATAGGAGGTCCTGAGTTCGAACCCTGTCAGTGGTTGCGTACTGCCGATGAGTCCCTAACTAGTCGGATGAAATAGCTGTCCAGTACTTTCTGGCTGGTTTTCAATGGTTCTCTAACTGATATCAATCCGTGATCAACTCGTAAAAATATATGTATATCACAGAAAGATAAACAAAAACGTTCAGAAAGGTAAACAGATCGGAAAATACACTAAAAAAAAAGTAAATATGAATGATAACGTATAACAGTAACAACATAGCAAAAGAAGGAAAAGAAAACATTTCCATCCACATGGGAATTGATTCAATGACTAACTGTAAATGGAGAATCAGTGACCGTTATTATAAAGTCATACTCTTTCCATCAGCAAGCAAAATGCAATACACATAAAAGCACCGAAACACCATGAAATCACTAATGGATCTACCTGAAGATTAGTCACTATAAATCAATATCATTTATATAAATACATCCTGCCTGAATTCATGCATACACAGACACACAGACAGACAAACACAGGAACACTCTGTCCCATATTAGATAAGTTTATATAATACATAA